TTATCTCCTTTCATAGTCACTGCCACCATTTCTTCTTGTAATAATCACATTTTAATCAGACCCCCATCTGTTCCAATGAGAGAGAGTTTAGATTAGATATGTGGAATTTGAGTCTTGTTTCTATGAGAGGGGTGAGACAGTGGAACAAGTTGCTCAGAGAAGTTGTGGATGCCCCRTYCCTGGAAGTGTTCAAGGCCAGGTGGGTTTGGATGGAGCTTTGAACAACCTGGTCTAGTGGAAGGTGTCCCTGCCTCACCTGTTCCCAGAGGTGTTGGAACAAGATAAACTTTAAGGTCCCTCCCAAGCCAAACCATTCTGTGATTCTGTGATTCCGTGATTCTGTGATTCTCTGTCTGTTCCCTCGCTGGTCACTCTACTCAGGACTCCTGCACCTGCTTAGGATAKGATTAGAGCAATTCTCTGGAAAGAAATGAGTGAAATGGAAAGAACCACAGCCACCCCACACATTCCCCTGTCGGGAATACACCTTCCGTGACGTTGATGGTTTTTTGTCATCAAGCTGTCATGTCTTGACAGCTCTGTAGGTGGAACAAAGGCGCCCATCAGACCGAACATGATTTGTAAACAATGAAGAAGGAGCTTGTGCCACCCTGCAGTGTCTGACAGCSTGAAAAACCACTGTGAGCTCTCAGCATTTTGCTGGCTCCTTAGGAAAGTCGGTAAAACTTCACCCTTCTCATCAGGATGCTGCCTTCTCAAAAAGGACAGTAAAATCATGGCATCTCTTTCAAATTCAAAATGCTTGTTTAAAAGAGAAATTATTCTAATTTACATTCTCAGTGTTTTCAATGTTCTTTTTTTTTTAATCTTCAGCATTAAATGAAAGGCTGAATACAGTAATTTTTCCTGTTTTTCCAGTAAGAACTTGGTTGCTGATTAAAGTCTTTTGCAGGAAGTGGGCAAAAATTAGAGTGTTAACAGCCTAACAATGAAATCGAAGTGACTTAGAGTAGCATTATCTAAAATAAATTATTTTTTGTTAGTACTATGAGATGTTCTTTTAACTGGCGACAATGATTTATTTCTATTTAGATGAATGATGAAACTAATCAGTGAATTACTTGAGAGACGCTTTGTTAAATTAGTCCCATATTCAGCTGGGAGTCTTTAATCTAATGCTCTGTGTGCTTATTTGTCATTGAATTCACAGTGAGATGTGCAGGTTCTTTTGTTTACATGAATATGAACTAGAATATCTTTGCTGATGATCAGTAGAGTTTCATTGTTTAGAAAGGGGGAAATGAGACAATGAGGCCTTTCTGGCTTTGTTTTTTTTGGGGACATACCTTTAAAAAAGTACCTTATGCAATTCTTTTAAAATTACTTGACTTATGTTTAAAGGGAATTCATTCAGCTTATTTCCAATTGCAGGTTGTTACTATTTAGAAGTATTTGTAAATTCTATGATAATTATTGCTTAATAATGGGGATGAGTTTGTGGTTTTTTGTACATTTTCTCTATCAAGCTAAATAAATTGAGGCTGGTTTTTTTTCCAGTCCACCCACAAGACTCTGGCCATTCATAAAAATTTCATGAATGAAGAAAATAACATATGTGTTGACAATGAAAATAGCAGAGTTTCAGGAAGCTAATATTAGTGGAAATCCTTTTGTTATAACTATGCTGCCTAAAGCTAGCATTTGTTAGGCTAGCTTAGACTTCTAAGGAGAAAAACAGCTGAGCTTTTTGTGATCATTTAATGCAAAGGACAGCTGGGTCCCTTTAATGTGRGAATTTACACGCTGTCAACAATGAACAGATAATTTGCCTAGCAAAGTGTTGTGATGTGGAAGGTAAAGAAGTAAAGCATTGAGAAGGTTTTGTAGAGGGAGAAAAAGGAGCTGTAGTTCTCATAGCTGCTTATGGGCAACACTTGAGTTTAAGGTTTGTATAATTTGTGTGTGATTGGACAGTTTGTGTTTATTTGGACAAAGAGTTCCTGGAATGTCTCTGCAATCTCAGCAATAGCACAGATCTGTGATTTAAATGTCTGAAGAAAAGTCATGTGCAAGATAACAAATGCAGGTTTCTCCCAGGTCATTCTAAGCAATTGCTCTTCATTAAGSTCGAAGCAGCTGCAATGTCACCAAGCAGCAAGGACAGTTAATCCTTTGGACTTTACCAGTCCCCACACCCTGGTAAATGGCACTGGAATGATGTTTCTTGCTTAATGTCTGTAGAAAGTTTATGTTTGGTTTTCTGGAAAATAGACCACTGAACATTTTAAGCTAAAGGGTGGCATGTAGACTCTGATGTCTGTGCATGTCCTGAATTTTCAGTACTTTGCTGGGGGAGGCAAATGTGTTTGTGAGCACGGTGGGCATGGTGGCTTTCCACTGTATTCAGCCTGGTTTTCCTCATGCATCCATAGAGCCAGTAGATCTCACAGATTAGGCAGAGGGACAGCCACCATGATGATATAATCTGCCCCTTCTAGCTTTCTTTGGTTCCTTCACACCACCTTGTCAGCCCCGATCTTGTTCTTTTGCTTCTTAAATTCTGTGAAGTGATACCTAGTCCAAGATGTGATTCAAACTTGGGAATTATTTTGCTGTTAATCAGTAATCAGTAGCTGTAGCTTGGCAGGTGTGATTAAGTGGTTSCTTTGTGAAACTTGTGGAACCTTATAGGCTTGGCTAATGCTTTGTTTTAAGGGAAAGGGAGTGCTATTCCGAGATGAATAGGCTGTTTGGACAAGAGCCACTAAGAGTGAAGCCAACAGGACTGAGCARTAAATGGGGAGAAGGAAATCAGAATGATAAGCAGGAGATATAGGTAGCAAATAAGGGTTTGATTAATGAAAAATGTGTGTGATTTAGAACCAGGGAGTGTTGATGCCTTTGTTTGGTAAAATGTAGAAATTGTGTATGATTACATAATTTGGGGCTTCCCACCTTGCTCCCAAATTTGCACAAACTAGAATAAAAATTAGAAGTACCTCATCTTGGTGGGGGAATTTTCTGTACACACCAGGTAGCAAGCCTGTGTTCAYGATAACAGAAAGTCAAGAGTTTCAAACCTTCATCTGCTTTTGGAAACCCAAGCATGCATGCAAATGACAACTGATATTATCATCACTGGGCAGAACAGGAAATAAGCCTGCCTTGAAGGACACCAAGTAATCTCAAGCAATATTAAAGCCTGTTTGCAACTCACAGAATTTGGAAGCATTTAGTAACTGCTAAATATCCATTTGGGGGATCTAAAGGCAGAATTTATGTGACAGTGCCCACTACATTTAAAAGCAAGAGTTAATGTCTGCTGCCTTTGTCTGTGGTTTGGCACAGCCTGTCTTGGAAAGAGCTTTGATATATCTTGAATAAGAAAGGTACTGTTATTTATAGAACATATCTAGTCTACATTTCCTCCTCTTCCCACCCCCACACCTTTACAGAGAATGTGAGCTGTCATTTGATCAGGGTCACCTCAGAGATGAGATGTCCTTTGAATCTCAAGATATGCTCCTGGTTCAATAACTGTAAATTAAAAAAACATTCTTGAGAAGGCAGATGCAGGACAAGAGTGCAGTTGCATGCTYGGTATTGCTCTGCTGTGCTATCAGTACATTCCTAACTATGACTCGATCTCAAGACACTAAAATTTACTTTTCTGCTCAAGCATATCTTAATCCAGAGTTAGTTTTTTTCATGAATAAGCAGGTTGTGGCTTAATATAAGCTGAACAGAATCTAATGTGCTGAGAAAAGTAGACAAAGCAAGTAAATCTAGGAAGAGAAATACGACAGCAAGAATAAGTCCTAAAAAGTGCAGTCTGTACTGTAACTCTGGATCTGTTTTCTGGACYATGTCCTGTGTTGCAGTGCCTCGTGAATGCATGATGCAATGTTAGACGTTGCTCTGTACATGCAAGTGAGGCCTCCCAGAAATGAGAATTTTTCCATGATGCTGCATCCTCTCTCCCTGGCATCTGCATTCTCCGAGGCCTGTGCAGTAGCTCCTGGAGTTACTGCACTCCAAAGTCAGGCTTTGACAGGTTTGATAAATAAAAATCCCTGCACAATTTTTTTTGCATGAGGAGAATATTAACTCTTGTATTGTAGACAAATCACATTCTATAACTAAATCACACTGCTTTAAATTCCCATGTCTCTTCACCACCTTTTTTTCATATGCTGGGCTGCTCTGYAGCACTGTGTGCTGCTTAAATGACTGTGCCGAGCTCACAAAAGGCTTGGGGCTGGCAGGAACATGWCCCATCCATACTTTTGAGATCCGCTGGGATGAGGACTATACAGATCTAATACGTTACTGTATTTGGTGCACAGTATCCCATAGCTATTTGACCATGCACTTTTATGCCCTGTTAAGAAGCTACAAGAGCTCCTCAGCTAAAATGATCCCTTTCTAATTTTAATTTATGCTAATATTAATTTATAATGTGTCTGGGCAAGTGGCTGTTTAAAGAGTTGCTGTCAAGCTCCAAATGTCTTTGTCTAAGGCTTTGGAGTGASCTGTCCCAGCAACACAACCACGGAGAGAGCCAGGTTGACTCCGGATTCCCAGTGCGGTTCTGTCACCACAGCATTCCCTGTTCATCCCTTCCTTTCTTCCCCAGAGGTGTTTTTTGTATATCAGCTCAGGAAGATCRCTTTCATKGATTGTTTTTTTCCTGTTTTCCTGGTTGTCGTGTTTCCCCTGTGTCCATGCAGCTTGCCTGGAAGGCTTGTGGATTGCCTGGCTTTTGATCAGTCTCTATGTCAGGACTTCAGGCAGTTTTGGTTTTGCAGAAAGTTACCTTCTGTATCACATTTGTTGCATTCTGSTTTGGGGAGTGGGGGTCAGACCTGTTCTACATGTTCTTACCAGCTAATTTCTGAACTTTTTTTTTTTTTTCATCACTCCGAATGCTTCTTTTTGTCACTTTGAGCCCTGACAGCTTCCCAGCTTTTCCAGGAGTGGCTGCTACAGTGATGTTTGTTTTCTCTTCTGTAAAACTGGTCCTTGTTTTGTGTTGCTAGGCTACTCCCTTCCAGCTGCCACTGAAGAAATGCTCCGTGGTGGGAAACGGTGGGATCCTGAAAAAGAGTGGCTGCGGCAAACAAATAGATCAAGCAGATTTTGTCATGCGGTAAGACAGAAACCTCAATGACACATTGTCCCCCCTTCTCCCTGCTAAGCCTCAGACTTTTCAAAGCTGTTCAGTTGGGATTAATCAATGATAATTTGCCTTGTTGCCCCGCCTTTGGARGATGCTTTACACAAGCAATTGGGGTCAAAATGTGAGGAGAGGCAAAAACGGAGCTTTGGCTTGGTTCTGCAAAGGGCTATGGAGACAATCTGCTGGTCAGTAAAGCTGTGACAGCTTGTGCTGTGTCTCTGGGAGGAACTGAGGAATTGCTTTTCTTTTCATTTATGCAGTGATAGCCAGGGAGTTTCATCCTTCTTGCACAGTGCTCTGTCCTCTAAATGATGAAACTAAATGCYATCTGTGCAACCCTCAGAACTCCGGATGAGTAGGGGCTCATTTATGGGGCAAGACTCAGGCTGGTACAAGCTAAACTCTTCCTCTGTTTTTCTTCCCTCAAGACTAAACTGAGACTGACTATCCGAGGAAAGGCCAAACCTTTTTCCTTGATGTAAGGTTTTTGGGATTCTTTACATTTCCTTTCCCTCCAGTCTTCCTTAAATTATAAGAAGCTGTCAGGAGGGATGTTGAACCAGCTACTGCTTTCATGATTAAATTTGGCACTTTCTAGGTCTGTGATCCTTAAGGAAGAAAGACAGAAATTAGTTCCTCCCTGTTAAACACGAACAAGAGAAACATTGTGGGGGAGAAACTGGAGAAATGCACCAAAGGAGATGAGAAATGGAGTTTCTTTGGGTTTCAGATGGGTGCATAATGAACACCCACTATAACAAGTCTTCTTATTAGATCCTGATGGCTTATTATGAAACCATACAAATTTGCACTAAACCGTTACTGTAATTTCTGGTTTGCATCTCAAAGGCCAAAAATGCCTTCAATGTTAAAGCAAAGAAATAGAACAAATTAAAGGCAAAAGGAAATATATACTTAGAGCATTTACAGAAGAGAAAATGTYAAAGCACAGGGGGAGAGAGTAGCACTGTGATTGCCATAACTGTAAAACTCCTTAGGTGTTCCACAGACTCAATACAATAAACTGCTGCGTATATGCCATGGTTATATTTTTTAGAAATTGAAATGCTGTAGGAGCAATCAGTTACAAAAACAATAGAAATTAAAAAAAAAAAAAAAAAAAAAAAAAAAAAAAAAAACAGCCAAAAAAAAGGTACACAAAAAAACCTCAACAAAACAGCAGTTATTTTAGCTTGATCGTAAAAATACATTTCTCTCCAGGGAGTGTAAAGCAACTATTATATGTATAGAGCTTGTTTTGATTTARAAATAAGTGATAGAGAGAATTCTGCAAAAATCCCAGTCACTGTCTGCAGGCTCTGTTGTATTAGTGATATGAAATCATATTCAAGGAAAATGTTTCTATTCTTTTGGGTTAGAAACTAATACACCACTGGGAGAAAATATTTTTACAGCAGGTGAAAGACAGGATTTAGTTGATCTTTTCTAAATCTGATTTCTGTAATCTGATTTCTGAAAGCACAATGCATAACATACAATGCATAACAATGCACACAATGCATAACAAGAGCATGTTGCATAACATTTTTCATTTTTGAAAAGAAATTTATGTAATATCTTCAAAGGATTTCTGCAGTGTGAAATGTCCTGCTAGGTTTTGCCCTTGCTATTTTCTTCCCTTCACATGAGTTTTAATTTCACTTGTGTGTATTTCCATAAGCTTTGTCATGGGGGAGAAKATGGCTACAGTCATATGTTGTAATTGCTAAGGTTATTTAATGTGTTTAAACTCATGTGGTTGCTGAGCATCTTCTACAAACACAGTTGTTCCAACACAGAGATGAAAAGAGCATCGGTTTTCAGCCCCTAAGGCACAGCAAGCTGCATCTGTAATGAGAATGGTGCACATGTTTAGGTATTGTGGTTATAATGGGCTCTTCTTCTGATTTTCAGGTTTGTAATTCTTATTTTTAAGAAAAAAAAAAGTTATTTCCCCTCTCTCTGCCTCCTGATGCTTCTTTTAAGAAAGGAGTGTTGGATAGTAGTTGTAAGCCATGTTTTTAACTCTATTTTTTGTGTACTTACTTCTCAATACCAGATGTAACAGTAAGAGAATTAAAAATAAATTTGCTTGATATGAGTCTTGTGCTTCAGTGTGTTCTTCACTTGCACAGCCCTCAGCACTCTGCTGACCTATCCAAGAAAATAATTGGGAAGGCCAAGCAAATGATTTCCTGCCATTTCCTTAGCATGCTCAGGCCATTTCTTAATGTTTCCTGCACACTGAGGTGGGAATCAGACTTACTGATGAAAGGAATTCCATGTGTCAGCTGTGACTGGCTTATGAAAGAATTTTCATTATTTAGATGCTGACATGATAAAAACTAGGGTGAGATCTTAGTCCTTCATAGTGCTTTTAAATAAACTTCAACCAAAAATGTTTCTTTTTAAAAGCTTGCCTTATGATCTTGTGTTTATTCAAAGCAGAGAGCATTAAATTGTTGCCAGRGGTATTTATGCCACATCCCTACCCTAAGGCAAATTACCTATATATCTTGCTTCACAAATTTTTGTTTGACCTTTATTTTATTTTACTTTAATTTAAAGAACTCTTTCTCATTTAAATTTTATCATTTGTTATGTCAAAGAATTAAAATTCCCTTATGCTTCTAGCCTTGCTTTCTATTCTTTTTTTTTTTTTCTAATCAATTATTGCAGTTCCTGAAACTTCTTATTTTGATTATTTTTCTCTGGCTTCTTTTGAAGTTGTCTTGCTTCTCTTAAACGGTGGTAGAGCAAACTAGAAGCTGTTTTCTGACTGACATCTCARTACATTGTGCACATCTTAACAAATACAGTCATGAAAAGAAGAAAATGTTCCTGGAAATTTTGTGTTTCTTGGTGAATGTGATTGAATTAATCTGTGTTCCATGTAGGTGGGATATTGCTGTCCTTTTCCTTGGCATTTCTTGATGATGAGAATTTAAGGTTTTGAGAGCTAGTATTTATATGCAAATAGATTCTGATATAGCACCACTGTGATTTTAATTGGGGTTTATTTG